ATAACTCCATCACAGGGCTGTTTCAAGGTTCAAAAGAGATAATGGACATTGTGGGCTTTGTAAACCTTAAAAGACAATATGGGGGCCGGGAAGGGGGCTGGAGCCAGTTCATACTGGCTCATGAGAACCAGAGCCAATGGTTAAATTTTCAGCATGAGCATTGACACCTCAGAAATTGGCAAATACCACGAATCAAGGCTTGATTTATTTTTTAATGTTTATTTTTTTAACTTTTAAAAAAAATTTGAGCTCCAAATTCTCTCCCTCTCCCACCCATTGAGTGATTTACTGTTTTGTTGATTATCTAGCCTTAAGAAAATGATAGAGGGGCAGCTAGGTGGCGCAGTGGATAGTGCACCGACCCTGAAGTCAGGAGGACCTGAGTTCAAATCCGGCCTCAGACACATAACACTTACTAGCTGTGTAACGCTGGGCAAGTCACTTAACCCCATTGCCTAGCCAAAAAAAAAAAAAAAAAAAAAAAGGAAAGAAAGTGATGGAGACAATGTTAAACTGCAGATTAAACTTTAAAGTGTGTCCTGGAGGCAGCTAGGTGGAGCAATGGATAAAGCACCAGTCTCACCAAAAAAAAAAAGTATGTCCTGCATACTCCCACCCCCATCCAAGCCAGTTGTTAAAGTTTTACCAGCACATCACTGACTGTCAGCTGTAATTACAGAATGAAGAGTAGACATGGATCTTTGAGTTCCTCTAGTCCAACCCCTCCATTTTACAGATAAGGAAACTGAGGCCCCAACAGAGGACATAACTTTCTCAAGATCATGTCATTAGAAGGTAGCAGTGACAAGATTCAAATCCAGGGCTTTTCCCACAGCCCTAAGCTACCTCATTAGAAGCATTGTTCCGGAGTCTAAGAGTTACTAGTCTTCCCTCAGGTGCTGAAATGCTTCAGCGGGACTCTGACTACAGGCACACCTGCCCACTCATAGCCTTGCTTGGATTGGTTCAGATCAGCAGGCGAAAAGGTCTGGGAGTCATCGAAGAAGAAACCAGCTGAAGGCGAGAGGAGAAGTAGATCCCAGCTTGGTTTGTGGTGGAGACGGTGGATAGTTTTTCCATCAAAGGCACTTCTCTGCTCTGTGATTAGGAACAATTTGTCTCTCCAGGATGCCATTTGTGTAGGGAAAAAACAGCAACAAACCAGGCACTAAAATTAATGATATTTTTAGGTTTCCTTCAGCAGTGGAGACTGAGACATCACCTAATCTGTGAACTCTCTCCCACAGCCCTGATGACTGTCCCGAGACGGTCATTTCTGCCTCACCAAGCACAGAAGAGAGAGAAATCGTTTGAAGCGTTTCCTCTCAAGATTGATTTCAAGACAGTTCCTGAACGAGTCAGACCGAAGAATGGAAAGAGGGACATTTACTAGCTGTGTGAACTTGGGCAGGACACAGGCCTGATGTGGGTCTCAGTTTCCTCTATTGTAAAATGGGTCTGGGGTTGGACTAGATGACCTTTAATATTCCTTCCAGTGGTAATTCAATCTATGATCTTCCGACTTGAGATGGGGGACTGAAGGTCAGCCCAGCCCTAGGTGAAATTATGAAATGATGCCTTCTCACTTCCCTTTGTACATTCATCTTCTCTTCACTGGAGCCTTCACAATGCGTCCCTGTGGCCCAGGACCCTCCCTGGACTGTTTTATTCAGATTTGTCTATTCAGAGTCCAAAATTATCCTTCCCTTTTGCTCCCCTTGGGAGCTCTCATTCACTCAGGAAAGCATCTAAAAAATGAATCCTCATGAAGTCATGAATGATTGATAACAGCTTTATGTGCTATTGGATGGGAAAAAATAACTCTGTCGAATCAAGATCATTAGAACTTAGAGGTTATTTAGTCGTACCCAGTCACTTTATGAAGACCGGGAAAGCACAGTGACTTTGTCAATGTGGTGTACTGGAAATAAAGGTGGGCCAGAAGTCAGGAGGTCCCTACAATTGCTGTGGTTACTTGAGGTGAATTGTTTAATTTAATTATCTGTAAAACTAAGGTCCCTTCTTGGCTCTAAAATTCTGTAATAGTGGCATGGCCCAAATAGGAACTCAGATATCTGGGCACTTTCCACCAGGCTATGCTGCCCAAGGTTTTGACCAGGATAAAATGCAAACTTCTCCTGGTATTTCAAGCCAATCACAATCTGACTTCACATTGTGCTTCCCGGGAAGTAGTGTAGAGTGAGGATTTGAATTCAGGTCCTCTGTGCCCAAATATGGTGTTCTTTTCGCTGCTGATTTCACCATTCTACTGAAATTCACCCTGAGTTTTCCTTTTACCTTTCGCTGTCTGGTGTCATTGGGGGTCTGGGCTTGAACTAGACCTGGCATCCTGAATTTGTCAACCATTTAGTGTTAATTCCTATGATGATTGATATTGTCTGGCCACATGCAGGTCAGACCGTGTGACTCCCTTCACCTCTCGGGGTCTTATTCTCCTCAGCCACAAGTAAAATAAGGCGGTTGAACTAGACAATGTTGAAGGTCTCCTCTAACTCTCAAACTGTGACTCTATACATGGTCCAGTGAAAAGTCTGAGCAATACCAATCACTGTTGGAAGGAGAAAAGAATCCATGTGGAAAGGACCCTAGAAATCATTTTGTCCAGTCCTCTCATTTTATAGATAAGAGAAATTGAGATCTGGAGAGGCTGCATGATCTATTAATTATCCAAACAGAAGCATGTAGCTTAGATGGGCTATGTTAGATCAAACTTTCACTGTATGTATTGTATCTATAATTATACATGTAAGACCATTTACATATAATAATTATCTAGTTATAGGTCAGATTTGATCCAATGATCTCAAAGCACTTAACCCGTCCTACTACGTTTTTTTTGAAATAGTAAGCTACTTCATGTACTATGTCTTGAAAACTTAGAAGACCTGAGAGCATATTGACTTGAAATGTCTGGAATCTTAATGCCCTCTTAAATCTAGTGTTCTTACCATCAGAGCAGGGGTTCTTAAACTAAGGTCCGTGAAACTGATTTTAAAAAGAGTATTTTGATAACTGTATTTCGGCATAATCGATTTTCTTTGTAACCCTTTGTATTCTATACATTAAAAAAATTATTCTGCAAAGAGGTCCATAGGCTTCACAAGATAGTGAAAGGAGCCCATGGCACAAAAAGGGTTAAGAATTCTTGTTCTAGAGTCACTGGGACCACAGATGTAAGGTGTGTGCATGGACTGGTTGAGGAGGGTGGCAGATATGTATGGAGGTTGGTGCTTTGTCCTAGCTAGAAAGAGTTGCTTAAGAGCTCAGGAATTCTTCACAATCAAATAAATAAACAAAACAGAAATTTTCGTATTTTCCTAGTCTCCACACATTTCCTCCCAGCAGTTTTTGGCCAAGAATTTCCTTTCAAATTGGTCTCTGGTCAGACTTCTTTTCCCTCACCAGACTCCTCTCCCTGCTGGATTTTTCTGTCAATTCAGGAAAGTAGACTTTGCCTCAGCTCTCTGGCAGAATTTGGGGTGACAGTGCCTGATTTAGCAAACCCAAATGGGTGGGAGATTGGTGGCCAAAGGAAAGGGGGACACCTTGGAAGGAGTTGTCATGATGAATGGTGACCACATGATTCTTGGGAGCAAGGAGATGAAAGGGATGTGATGCAGTAAGACCCTCTCTGCTGCCCTCCCTACCAAAAGGAATGCTTCATATCTTGACAGGGATAACATAGAAAATAGCACAGCTGGAAGGGGCCTTAGAGATCACTTATCAAACTCCCTCCTTCTGTCATGAGAAAAGGAGGTCCATGAAGGTGACGTGGCAAAGTCAGAACTAGACCCTGGGTTTCCTGATGTCTACACAAGTCACTTTTCTCCTACTGGTCTCACTCATTCTCTCCTCTCACTCTTTCCCCTCCCCCAATCAGGGCTGTAGGCAGCATGTTGTCCAGAAGCCTCCTCCTCTAAGAGATCTCTGCTATTACAAGATACCTTCCTTTCTTCTCATTTCTTCTCCTAGGTTTACGAAAATAACTCAATTGTGTCAGCAAATCTAAAAGGGTTGGTAGGAGGGCAGGGAAGGGAGAAGGCCTGGTGTGTGAGGTGTCAGACCCTGTCCTCTCACACCCACAGGCTGGAATGTTCCAAACTATTTATAAAGGTTGAACTGAAGATGTGTCCATCAACTCCGAGGGAACTAAATAAATAGACTAATTGTTGAATGAGGCTCTTGTGCTGGTGGAAAGGTGGAGGACCAGCTGAAGCAAAGACTGAATGGCTTCATCTGTCTTTGAGTCCCTCCCCCCATGAGAGCCAGCCCCTCTCCCCAAGGTGAACCAGAAAGAGCAGAAGAGGAATTTGGGTCTAGTCTTAAGGAGGGGCATCTACTTCCAAGGATGAACTGCCTCCACCTCCTCCTTTGCCTCCCCCCCAGCACTGCTGCTTTTATGCAGGGGCTCTGATCTGCTGGGATGTGAGGGGAGCAGGGGAGATGGAAAGAGAAAGCACCAAATACACTTCTCCCAAGATTCCAGGTTTGGCTCCCATGGGTATGAAGTCAATGACTGACTCCTGACCTCCGTTAGGACCCTGAGAGTTCTCAGAGCATAAGTACTGTTTTATCTTAACTTTATTCATGGGCTTATAAAATAGTCCTCATTCCTCCCTTCTGTATGGTCAGTACATTCAGTCCCATGTTTCATAAGGAGGCATAATGATCAACGGAAAGATGGGAATGAGAATATGTGAAGACCTACATGAAGATAACAGCAGAAAACCTAGGAATTCTGACTTCTCCAACCAGTTGAACAGAAGAATAACTGTGGAGCTTTTCCTAATAAAAACTCATCCTGGGACCCATCCTGGATGAGTAATCAGGGACTCATCCTGGACCTACAGCTCCTGGCTTTTTCCTCATTTCTATTTTTAACTATGTGCATCTCTCTCTCTCTCTCTCTCTCTCTCTCTCTCTCTCTCTCTCTCTCTCGTTTTTAGTGTATTTATACATATAACACAGACTCCCTGCAAATAAACTATTTTTTATTTTTCATCTTTTCACAAAATAAATAAATTAATTCAATTTGCAGTGAACAATATTCCAAAGATAGGAAACCCTCCCCTCCCAAGTTCATTCTCAAAAGAGTTCTCCAAAAATCTCTGGTGGGAGGAGGGGGGATGGCGATGTGGGGAGCAGGGAGCTGGCAACATGTGCAAGACTAGGCCCCCCCCAGAAAACAACACTGGGAGTGGAGGTAATGGCTCCTCCATCACCCCTCGAAGCCTTACTGGAGCTGGTAATTTTCCACTCTTGGGAACCAGCAGGTAAAGGAGGGGTGGGGACAGGGAGGAGGGAGAAAGTAGTCCCCTCTTTAGGAAAAAACATTTCTGGACCTGCCAGAAATGTCTTCAGCAACACACATCCTGAGGTGGGAAGAGGCTCCTAGACAGTGCTACTGGATTCTCTGAGTCTCAGTCCATTTTGTTCAAAATGAAGATCTCTCTATTGGAGGAGGGCATTAGAGACACATTCCTGCACAGCCCATATATGGAATATGAAATCAAGAACAGAGACATCCATGCACAACTACAGCTCCCCCAATTGAAATAGCCCCCAAACCAAGGATGGATCCATCATGGTTCTGGACACTCTGTATTTTGGCTGCTTTTAGGAATGTTTCTTTCTTGTTCCCCTGAGCTATGACCAGTCCCCAAATAGAATGTCACATTTCTCTCACCACATATGCTGGCCTGGGATGACTGGATGTGTAACTCTCATGCTGAATTGCCCAGGAGAATGTAAGCTCCCTGGATGGCAGGCACTGTTTTCTTGTTCTGTTTTGTGTTTTTTTTCTTTGGATGCCCAGTCTCTGGTACAGAGCTTTGGTAACTTGAAGGCACTTTAATAAATGCTGGTGGAATTAATTAACTGTGGAACAACTGCATTTTTGTGTGTTAATTTCTAGGCCATGACCTTGGAGGGGAGAGGGGGAGCTTGTCACTGGACATTGTCTTTAGAAGCAAAACATGTACGTGGAGACAGCCTCCTGAGGCCAGGGTGCTTCTCTGAGGAGAAGGGGAAGAACCCCAAGATCCTGGAAAACAAAAGGGGTAATGAAGACAAGTCTGATGAAAAGCAGGGCTGGTGGTGGGAGGGGAGATAGGGCTGAGCAGACTCCAATTGACTCCAGCTGCCTCAGTTTGTTTCTGGGGACCCCCCTGTAGCAATGGCCCCAGCCTCTGGTTTCTTCAAGTTTCCCTCAAGGCCCCAACCGCCTTCTCTACCAACCACCTCCAACCAATACTTCTTGCTGAAAGAAAAATAGCAAAGGAAGAAACCAAACCATGAATAACTTTAAAGCCCCAAATAATGGTCCCCTACCAAGCTGAACAGTTTTTCTCCCCAGAAACCTCAAGGAGGTTGGAGAGGGGGGCTTTGAGACACTGATTTGTCACCTTGATGGCTAGTTTGTGGTCTAAAGGAGGGGTAGGAAAAGAACCAATGCCTTCTAGAGAGGCTGTCCTGTTCTCCCTTCTCCCCTGAACCTTCCCTAGGCACTTCCAGCTTCAGCTCTAAATCCCCTCCCCCAGCCAGCCAGCCAGTCAGCCAGAGGAGCCCTTTATCTGTCCCCCTAGGCCAAGCTTTGATCCTGCCTTCCAGTGGTAGGCCTGGGCAGCCCTCAAGGAGAGAGAGGCTCTGTAGGAGCCAAATGACTTTGGCTAGGGCCCTTGGGGGTGGGGTGGGGTGTCATAAATAAGTTGTTCGAGGGTTGGTCAAAAGCCAGTTTAATGCAGCCCATCTGCCACAAAAGTGAGGAAACTTATAGATAAAAGGAGGTAGTAGTGAGAACCAGACACAGGCAGGGGTCTCACTCAGAACTGGGAGTTTGCCATTGCCATTTTAAATGAGGCCCTTCGGGTCAGTCTTATTATCCCAAGGAGGTGAGGAGTCTCTTTCACCTCCAGGTCCATCTTCCTCAACAATTATAATAAAAGTGAGTGGACTCGCTTTGAATGTTTAGTACCCAAGTACCCTGCAGGAACAGGGAGGCACTTGTATGGAGATGGGGAGGAGGGGGCAGGAGGCAGAGCGTGCTGTCAAAGGGTGAAATGAAGTCAGGACATCCACCCTCCCAGCCTAGCCTCAACCCCCCCCTCCCCCCACCTCCCCGGGGAAAATTCATCCCTGTCAGATGGAGGTTGAAAGTCCCCTAAGCGGGTCAGGAACCTGCCCTGGTCTCTTTCTGTCCTGGGAAATCTTGGCCGCAAGAGAATAAGTTGGAAAGTGACAAATGGGGGATGGGGTTGGAGTGGGGATAAGGCCTACTTCTCTAGCAAGAAGGACGTGCCTGGCTCATTTAACTTCTTACTGGATGACCCTTGCCACCACACCCCCACCCTCTTCAGGCTCCGTGTCATTGCTCTGACTTCTCTGTTGCATTTCAGTTTCAGTCGACATCAGTAGGAGGTCAGGGGGCTGAGGATGGGGATCGTGGCTAAAGATCCAGTCCCCCTTCTGCCATTACGTCACCCAGAAGGTGCCCCGGTCCTCCAGCAGACTGATGGAGCGATTGGTGAGGGTGGCTGGATCAGGGGCCAGCTTGTAGCCAAAGAGCTCCATAGCGGGGCCGCAGGCACCCTGGACCACCTGCGCCAGCTTGAACGGGATGGTGAAGCGCCACTTGTCAAACTGCTCCGACGAGTTCTTCTGGGTAGAGTAGATGCCGCTGCTGTCCCGTGGGGCCTGGGTGTTCTTACGGATCCAATCTTCCACCTGTGAGGTGAGGGTGATGCCCGCAAAGCGGTACATCTCCCGGGCCTTCTGCAGAGGCGAGCGGGCCACGTCCTCGTAGCGGACCAGCATGTAGCGGCCTCGTAGCCAGGAGGGCTGGCTCAGGCCCAGCTCGGCGGAGAGGCGGATGCTCTCACAGTTGCCCCGAAGCCTCTGCACCTCGTCCTCCCGCAGGCGGGCCTCCCCTTCCGCCACCCATTTCTTCCAGGTCTCATACTTGCCAGAGAAGGCCACCATGCGGGACGCCTGCACGGCCCGGGGGTCCCGGACCAGCTGGATGATCCGCATGTCCAGGCGGGGGTCCTCCACCAGGGGGCGAAGGAACTCCAACTGTCGGATGCGCACGGCTTTGAGGGCCATGTGCTCTTTGCGTCGGCAGGCGTCCGCGGCCAGGGTTAAGTTGAGGGCGCCGCAGCGGCGGTTCTTGCAATGGTACTTCTCAAACACCTTGTTGACAAGGGGCGTACAGACAGGCTCCTCGCAGAGCGAGCGGCTGGACCCTCTCCGGAACATGAACTGAGTCAGATGGTCCTCGGGAAGCGGGGTGATGAAGTGCTCCAGGATGTAGAGGTCGCAGAGGAACAGCTGCTTCAGCACGTCCCGGTAGACCAGGGCCGAGCCGGCGGCATTGGCTCCCCCAGGTTCAAAGGTCACCGTCCGTTCGATATGCCACAGAGGCTCGAAGAGGTAGAAGATGTTGCCTTGCTGGTTAAAGAACTCCCCCACGAAGGAGGAGCCGGTCCTGGTGGTGGCCATCAGAAGCACGTGCCGTCGTGGGCCCAGGGGCAGCTCCTCGGGCCCCTCGCCCAGCTGCAGGGTGATGTTTCGGAGCCGCTCCTGGAGCTGGGAGAAGGAAGAGTCCAGCTCACTCAGGGATAGGAGGGACGCATTCTCCGAAAGGATCAGGGCTGGGTCGGTGCTGTTGGCATCCATTAGGGACTGTGGGATTTGCTTCAGCTTGTCGGAGACCCTGTGAGCACAAAAGGAAATAATTAATAATGATGATGATGATGATAGCAGGTAGAATTCATACAGCACTTTAAGGTTTGCAAAGAACTTTACACAGATTATCTAATTCTATCTGAAAAAATATCACTGTTAGGGTTAGTATCTATGCAGGCAGCCATATGTCAACACACAAGCCGTTTCCTTCAGGAAACCTCCTTGGAGCAATTCTCTCTAGTTCAATCCCTGACTCAGGGAAACAGAATCCGAGGATGTTAAGGCTGTTCAAAACTTTCCATTTGACAGAGGACCAGCAAGGTCTAGTAATTTGCCCAAGTTCATCCAGCTAGAAGTTGATAGCAGCTGAAGCTGAGTGGTGCAGTGCAGAGAGCACCTGCCGGAGTCAGGAGGACGTCAGTTCAAATCTGCCCTCAGGCAGTGTGACACTGGGCAAGTCACTCAATCTTGACTGGAATCCCTTCAATAAGATAAAAGTTAGTAGCAGTCAGAAAGAACTCAGGCATCTTTTTTGAAAAAAATAATTCACTGCAGATTGAAGCGTGCTATTTGCTCTCTTTCTTGCTTCGTTTTGTTTTGTTTCCTCTTTCTTGTGGTTCCTCCTATTGGTTCTAATTCTTCCTTACAACATCACTAATGTGAAAATATGTTTAATAGGAATGTATATGTATGGCCTATATCAGATTGCACGCTGTCTTGCTGAGGGAGGTGGGAAAGGAGGGGAAGAAAAATTTAAAACTCAAAAGCATATGGAAGTGATTGTTGATAACTAAAAATAAATTAATAATAATAATAAATATAATAAGGAAAAAAATAATCCCCCCCAATCATGAAGCAATTTTTTTCTTCCTTTCAACCTTCCCTTCGATCAACAGAAAAAGAAAGAAAAAAGAAAACTCTTATAATAAATATGTATGATATTTGATTTTGGTCCTCAAGTGAATGCCAATCTGCATTGGTAGGAGTTTCATCATTGAGAGTTTCCTATACTAGTGAAAAAACAGGTCCAACTGAAAGGTAGGTAGGTAGATAGATGGATGGATGGATGGATGGATGGACGGATGAATGAATGAAATGGGGTTGAAAGGGTTTTTGTGTCATTGTTTTGCCTCATCTCCCTACTAGATTACAAGCTCTATGAGGGCAGCGATAATGTCTTATCCAAACTCTGCATAGGCCCCAGTGCCTCACATAATGCTTCATACACAGTAGGTACTTTTGTTCAATGAATGAAGGAATTCATGAAAATAAAGAATAATGGTTCCCTCATTTCTTACCTTGATATGATTTTATTTTCTTTCTCAATGAAGACAAAAACGATAACCACAAACAGCAGGAAAAGAGCATATTTGCTCCTCATTCTCAGGCTGTGCAGAAGGTCCCGAGTATCCTGAGGCCAAGAATGTCCTCTTTCCATGGGAATCTACTGGGGAGAGAGAGGGAGGGGCTCTGGGAGCTCCTTCCCCTCCCAACAAGCTGTCCAGCCCCTAACCTTGGGTAGTTAGCTGGACCACATCTTTGATCTTGGCATCAGGTGGAGGACACCCACGTCCTGCAGAAAGAGAAAAGTGATGTCAGCTAAACATCTTACATTTTGAAACAAGGGAAAAAAAGGATGTTGGAGCCAGTAGATGGCAGGATGCCGTCCTTCCAGGGGCTTAACATAACTATAGCCCCTATGGATTTCAGAAAAACCTGGAAAGACTGACATGAACTGATGCTGAGTGAAGTGAGCAGAACCAGGAGACCATTGTACACAGTAACAGCATCATTGAGCGATGACCAACTTTGATAGACTTAGCTCTTCTTAGCAATACAATGATCAAAGACAATTCCAAAGGACTCAAGATGGAAAATGCTATCCACATCCAGAGAAAGGACTGTGGAGTCTGAATGTAGATGGAAGCATATTATTTTCTCTCTTTTGTTTTTTCTTTCTCATGGGTTTTTGTTCTGATTCTTCTTTCACAACATGACCACTGTGGAAATATGTTTAATATGATTGTACATGTATAGCTTATATCAGATTGCTTGCCATCTTGGGTAGGGGGGAGGGGAGGGAGGGAGAAAAAAATTTGGAACTCAAAATCTTATAAAATTGAATGTTGAAAACCATCTTTACATGTGATTAGAAAAAAATAAAATACCATTAAGTGGGAAAAATAATAACTACAGCCCTTATCCATGGAAACCTAAAGCCAAATGAATGACATGGATTGGCTGGAATCTGAAACTGAAATGAACGCAAATATGATTTTTATTGAACTACAAACAGAAGCAACACTGTCTTTTTTTATGTTTCATAGAAAACCTCATGGTCTAGGCATGTAATCCAAGGAGGTCAAGGATAGAAAGGTCCCAGGAAAACCAAAATATTCCTAGCAGTGCTTATTATAGTAGCAAAGAACTGGAGAAAAGGGAGGATGCCCAGTGATTCAGGGAATAGCCAAACCAGCAGTGGTAGATGAATGTGATGGTACTACTATGCCATAAGAAATTATGACTATGGAGACTATTAGGAGGCATGGAAAGATTTTTATGAACTGATGCAGTGAAGCAAGCAAAATCGGGAAAGCAATATATACAATGAGTTGCTGTTGTTTAGTTGTTCAATTGCGTCCAACTCTATGTGACTCCATGGACTCTTGTCCATGGGGTTTTCTTGGCAAAAAATAACGGAGTAGTTTGCCATTTCCTTCCCCAGTATGCCCCCATTTTACAGATGAGAAAACTGAGGCAAATGGGGTTAAGGGACTTGCCCAGGGTCACACTGCTAGTAAGTGTCTGAAACTGGATTTGAACTTCAGGTCTTCCTGAATCTTCTTCCCCAAAGAAGAGACATGAGAATGTACCTCCCCCCCCCCTCCACCTTCTTCGCAGAGGTGGGGGGAGGGGCGCTATGGAAATGGAATACTGTCAGATTTGACTAATTTGTTATTGCTGTTGTTGCTTGCTGAACTGCTTTTCCCGCCTCTTCCTTTTTTTGTTCTTATAAGAGAGGCCTCTATGATTATGGGAGGGAAGCAGAATTGATTGGGAAATGATGGTGACATTAAACACAAGAGTAATCAATACTTTTTTTTTTAAGTGAACCAGTTCTGAAGGCAAAACATTTCTAAAACCAGAAAAGTTGGAATAGCATCTTATCTTCCCATGCACCCACATCCTGACATGGACCATTCCAAATGATAGAGTCACCTTTTCCCCCAGGGGGAAGGGATGACTCATCATCTCATGTAGAGCCATCCCTTCTGTACGCCATGTGACAAGTGCCCACTCAGTTTTTGCTGAAGGTTTCCAGTGAGTGGGAAGACAGCTGCTTCCCAAGGCCATCCATTCCATTTCTGTTTGGAGCGAAACATACCCCTCTCTCAGCAGAGAGGTGGTGAATTAGAGGCGTGGAGCTAAGCAAGAGGAGTTGATGTGTTGGCTGTTTTGCTCACCTCTACTTCTGTTCTATGAGTGGGTTCTATTGAGGGTTGACTGGAAGTCACAATGATAATTTTTTTTTTAAGAATCAACAATCATTCCCCAATTGATAAATGGTCAAAGGATATGAACAGCCAGTTCTCAGGTGAAGAAACTAAAGTCATCTATAATCATATGAAAAAATGCTCCAAATCACTATTAATTAGATAAATGCAAATCAAAGCAACTCTGAAGTACCATATCACACCTATCAGATTGGCCAACATGACAAAACAAGTAAACGATAAATGTTGGAAAAGATGTGGGAAAATTGGAACACTGATGCATTGTTGGTGGAGTTGTGAAATGATCCAACCATTTTGGAGAGTAATTTGGAACTATGCTCAAAGGGCTATAAAAATGTATATAACCTTTGATCCAGCAATAGCACTTCTAGGGCTGCATCCCAAAGAGATCATACCAATGTGAAAAGGCCCCACATGTACAAAAACATTTATAGCAGCTCTTTTTGTGGTGGCAAAGAATTGGAAATTGAAGGAATGTCTATCAATTGGGGAATGACTCACAAGTTGTGGTATATGATTGTAATGGAATACTATTTCGCTATAAGAAATAATGAGCAGGTGGACTTTAGAAAAACCTGGAAAGACTTGTATGGACTGATGCTGAGTGAAGTGAGCAGAACCAGGAGAACATTGTACACAGTAACAGCCATGTTGTGCAATGACTAACATAGATAGACTTAGCCCTTCTCAGCAATGCAAGGATCTAAGACATCTCCAAAGGTTTCATGATGGAAAATGCTATCTACATCCAATGAAAGAACTATGGAGTTTGAATGCAAATTGAAGCATACTATTTTTCATTTTTTTTCTTCTGTTTTGATTTTTTTCCTCTTTCTGGTGGTTCCCTATTGGTTCTAATTCTTCCTTACAACATCACTAATGTGGAAATATGTTTAATAGAAATGTATATGTAAAGCTTATATCAGATTGCACACTGTCTTGTGGAGGGAGGGGCACAGAGAGAGGAGGGAGGGGGGAAAGAGGGAGGAGGGAGAGGGGAGGGAGGGGGAGAAAAATTTTAAACTCAAAAGCTTATGGAAGTGATTGTTGATAAATCAAAATAAATTAATAAAAAAATTTTTAAAAGAATCAACAAAACACTTTTTTAAAAAGTGAGATGGGGGCAGATAGGTAGCACAGTGGATAGAGCCCTGGCCCTGGATTCAGAAGGACCTGAGTTCAAATCTGGCCTCAGATACTTACTAGCTGTATGACCCTGAGCAAGTCACTTAAGCCCAATTGCCTCAAAAAAAAAAAAAAAGAGAGAGAGAGAAAGAGAGACAGGTAAGAGGACACTTAGGAGGGCAATGTTAAGGAATAATAATATCTAAAATTTATATAACGTTTGAAGGTTTGCAAACCGTTTTACTTATATTATCACATCTGATCCATCACAACAACCTTGTGAGGTTGTTGCTATGAGGAAGTTGAAGCTGAAGAAAGGTTAAGCAGCTGGCCCAGAGTTCTAAGGCTAATAGGGATCTAAGGCAGAATTCGAACTCAGGACTTCCTGTCCCAGAGTCCAGCATCCTGCCCACTACTCCACCTAGTTGCTTCAGGAAGGGAGAAATGGAAGCCAAAAAGGAGAAAGCGTCTAGGAAGCCGGGGCGGTAGACATCCTCCAAAGCTGCCGAGATCAAAGAAGACGGAGCTTGAGGAAGAGCACTGAAGAGTTTGTGGACCACCTCGGAAAGACGTGCTGCATATCTGGAGAGCAGAATCATGGTGCTGCTTTCTCCAAAGGTGACTCTATCATCTGGAATAGTCCATGTCTCAAACAAGATGGTGGTTGTTTTTTTCTTTCTCAATGATCTCTATACCAAGAGGGGCAGATTCCTAGAAATAAAGTATTACCTCCCCTAACAACCTACATCAGCAACATATGTCCCTTAGGCAAAACTAGTCTTCCCAGAGAAGTTCTCCTCCCCTGCGTTCTTCCTCTCTCTCTGGAAGCATCCTACTCACTTCCCAATGTGCAAAATACTTTGTGAATTTCATAGGCTCAGGATCCTTCAACACCAGCTGTTTCCCCAGAGGATCCCTGAGGCTTTTCTAGAAATCACTGAGTAAGGAAGAGGGAATCCCTACCATAGCATCTCCATTTGAGCTTCCTTCAACCGAGAATCTACAGGTCTCTGAATCCCCATCCTGTTCTGGCCTCTTGGATGAAGGCAAGGAGAACTGTGTGTGGGTGGTCAGAGACATGCGGCAGCGGACCAGATTTCACATGGAGCTCTGCATTCTATAGGGATAGTGTCAGCTCTTCCCAAACCTCTGTGTTCAAATATCCTCGCAACTGACACAGTTCATGATATTTCTGGTCCCTGGAATCTAGCTTTATGGGAAAAAAAAAAAAACTCTGGTCACAGAATCATAGAAACTGAAACTTGGGATTTGAAGGCGTCAGAAGCTATCTAAGGCCAAATCCCACCTGCTCAGAGGGAAGTACCCATTGGACCAGTCTGTGATCCTTTCTTTCATCTTCTAGTGGTCCCACTTTGCCCACTCAGATACCCTTTCCCACAATGTACCCTAAGGACCTTGCCATCAGTCCTAAAGACCACAGGATATTTCCATGTTGTGCTGTCTCCCCAAGTTAGAGAGCAGAAACTCTTATGTGTATCACTTTTTAATCTGTATTTCTGGTACTTAGCATAGTGTTTTAAAAATAGTATCACTTAATTGCAAATAGTGTTTTTCTATTGCATTCCATCTAATACAATCCCTCTCTGAATAGGAATCCCCTCTACCTTTCAGCCACCCTTTGGACAGTCAATCAGTCAATCACTTTTATTAAGTACCTACTGTGTACCAAGCATAGAGCTGAATTTTGAATCCATGGGAATTGTTAAGTAAAGAGGGGGATGAGAAGAAAGCCCTGTGGGATAACTGCTCTTAGGAGGTATGACCTAGATGAAGATTCACCAACGGAGACTGAGAAGGAGCAGTCAGATAAAGAGGAGGAGAAGCAGGAAAGAGTAGCATCCCAGAAACTTAGAGAGGAGAGAACATCAAGGAGAAGAGGGTGATCCACCATGGCAAAGGGCGCAGAGAGGACAAGACAATGAAGACTGAGGAAAGGCCATTGCCAATTAAGATATCAGTTGGTAACTTTGGAGGGAGAAGTTTTGGTTGAACGATGATGTTGGAAGCCAGAGATAATTAAGTAGAAGGTGAGACGAATTGAGTGTAGACACCCACTAACTCCCAAGGTTGCCCGTTCCACTCTCAGATGGCTCTAATTGTTCAAAAGTTTTTCCTTTATCTGGCTTACATCGAATCATAGGATCATAGATTCTGAGCTGAAAGGGAAGTCACAGGCCACCCAGCCTAACCCCGTCCTTTTACAGATGAGGAAACTGAGGCCCAGCTAGGGTTTTTAGCTTGCCCAAGGCGACAAAGGCATCAGAGATAGTTTTGAACCCAGTTCCTCTGACTCCTGAGACAGTTAAATTTCTACATTTGCCTCTTTGCAACTTCTACTTGGACCAGTCACCTCACTGTTCTGAGTCTGTATTTCCTTGTGTGTATAATGGGGGAGGGGAGGAAGGAATCTTGGCATAATGGATGGATGACCCCTGGGAGTGAGTTAGGAAGACCAAGATTCCATTGCTGCCTCGAACACATACTGGCTGTGTGACTCTAGGCAAATCACTTAACCTCTCAGTGTACATGGTCAACTCCTAAGACTTTAAATAGCAGAGCAGGTGTGGATCTGTTTTGGCAGAAGTTTCCTCAGAAGGTGAATTCTACATGAATGAAATTGTAGGGGGTGGGAGGAGAGATAGAAACAGAGAAAGAGAAAAAAGGAGGAAGGGAGAGAGGGAAGGAGAGAGAGAGAGAGACAGAAAGAGGAGAGAGAGGAGAGAGAGAGAGAGAGAGAGACAGAGAGAGACAGAGATTGATTAGTGGAAACATCTGAACTTAAGGACTAAGAAAGAACAACAAAAGGGGTCTGAAGGAATCAGGGAATGGAATTCAAACCCTCCCTCAGGAGGTGATATGAAGAAGGGAACAAGGCAAGAGAGTGAATGAAACCTTCTGGGTTTTACTACTTTCTTGGAATGCACGAGACTCTTTGTCCTTTCCAAAGAAATATAGTTGGCTCTTTGCCTACGGAGTGAGGAGAGACCCTGTGGGAATGTAAGCTTTCCAAGTGTTAAAAACAGCTCATTGATGAATGCTAGAAAAATGTAAGCATGGGAGGGTTGGAACTTTTCTAGACCTAATTCCATGTGGATGCTGGTGCAGCTTCTGGGCTGCAGGGAAGGGCTAAGAGGGTGGCACCAATCATGGAGACGGAGACACAGGCTTCGAGGGGTTGCCGCCCTGATTTTCAGAAGTTTAGATCTATGGTGGAAGAAGAGAGGGAACAGAAGTCCACCATCTTCCACTCTAGACTTGTCCTATGATGACCATGCCACGAAACCAAGACATCAAACAACAGTGGCCTTGCCTGTCTCATGATCTTCCAAGTTCAAGTTCAAGTTTCCAATTTCAAGATCATTAAAAAAGGTTAGAGTAAACAACACTGCCTTGAATGTCTGGGTGTCCTTGAGAACAGCACTGGGCTCATCTAGAGGGTTATTAATAGTATAATTAGCATTGAGTGAACACCAATATGAGCCATGCCTGAACATGATTTCTTCCTGGAGGGCTCACAGCCCAAATGAGAGAAATACTAAATTCAGGGTGAAAACAGGCCACACTTGCCTGAACACTAATATGCTATTGGTGAAACTGTGAATTGTTTCAACAATTCAGGAAAATAATTTGAAAATGTGTGAGAAAAGTCACTAAACTGTTCTTTGACAAAGAGGTCTCATTAGGGGGCATATACTATGGAAGTCAGAAGCAAGAAGAAAGGAAGGCAGAGGAGTAGATAGAATGCTAGGCTTGGAGTCAGAAAGACCCAAGTTCAAATCCTGCCTCAGAGACTTACTAGTTGTGCGACCCTGGGCAAGTCACTTAACCTCTGTTTGCCTTAGTTTCCTCATTGGTAACATGATGATAATAATGGTTCCTATACCCTGTTGTAAGGATTCAGTGAATGCATATAAAGTGTTTTACAAACCTTAAACCCTATATAAATGCTAGTTATTACACTATACCTTGTATTTACTTATCTATAAATATGTTGTATTCTCCTCCAATAGAATATAAGCTCCTTGAGGGCATGGACTGTCTCACTTTTGTCTTTATATTCCCACCACCTGGCACAGTGCCTGGCACCTAACAGGAACCTGATATAACCGCTTGTAGATTTATTAATGGGTTGACTATTGGTTGCCATCACTTGGAGCTAGGGTGTAGACAGACATCTTTCCTCTCCGTGATGGCTGCTTCTGGTATTATCATGTCAGGGGAAGGGTGGGTGGGGACAGCCTACGATTCCAAGGGAGAAAGTAGGAAGACAGAGAGAGTGCAAATGTTGGCATTTCTGTAATCATCGCTCTACTCAAGTAGATGCAGAACCTGATTTGCAAAGTAGTTTACATACATCATGTCATTTGTACAGTGCCCAACACATAGCAGGAGCTAAATAAATTCTTGTTGACTTGACTCATTTTTTGTGACAACCCTGTGAGGTATTATCCTCATTTTGTAGATGAGAAAACTGAGGCTCAGATTTTGGCTTGCACATGGTCACAGAACTCCCTTTAAGGTCCCTGCTAGCTCTAATCTTATGAGTAAGTGTTTAACAGGAGATCTGAACCCAGGTCTATCCTCACTTCCAATTTGGTGCTCTTTCCACTATACCACCAAGTTCAAGCATTCTTGGGGTCACCCTTGGGTCAGGGCATCCTTTTTCTTTTTTTGGCAAGGCAATGGGGTTGACTTGCCCAGGGTCACACAGCTAGTGTTATGTGTCTGAGGCCGGATTTGAACTCAGGTCCTCCTGAATCCAGGGCCCATGCTCTATCCACTGCACCACCTAGCTGCCCCTGAAGGCATCCTTTTGGGGTGATTCCTTGAGTGAAGAACTGTGTGAGGACCTGTCTATCACTCTCCCCATCTACAAACCATCCTGGGAAGCACAGAGACAGATGTATTTTGCTCCTGAGAAGACTGTCCAACTTCCTTTCCTCACAATAACCCCCTAAAGGGGCAGCTAGGTGGGGCAGTGGATAGAGCACCGGCCCTGGAGTCGGGAGGACCTGAGTTCAAATGTGACCTCAGACACATAACACTCAGTAGCTGTGTGCCCCTGGGCAAATTACTTAACTCCAGTTGCCCTGACAAAAAAAAAATCCCCCCTAAAAACAGCGTTTGAAGTGACCTGGCAGGAATTCTATAGACTTCCCATTAGGACATGTCCACACCAGTGATACCAGTGACAGCATGGCCCCTGAGGACTATGGTTACTTCCTAGGGAGATATCTTCCCAATACCCTACCAGCTAGTTCACAGGAAGCAGTATTTAGGAGGAGACCCCCTAGGAGTCCCAGGTCATGTGCTGAGCAAGTTTGGGAGGGATATAAGGAGGAATGAGTTCCTGTTTCCCAGCAGGATAGGATCTTTAGCATGTAAAACACACTGGCTTTTTTTTTATTTGGTTTTCAGTATAGTGGGAACATGTCCAAAGACTGGGAAGCCAGGTGACCTTCATCCAAGCTCCAGTTATGCCATGTGCATTAGTGTGATTGTGGTCAAGTTACCTCTCTGACCTCAGTTTCCTCATCTGTAATATGACAGTGTCGTACGAGATGGTACTCTGAGGTCCCTTCTAGTCATAAATCTATGAAAATAACATAACCAATTGAAACAGAGTAGATCCTTCCCATCCACCTCCTTGCCCTGCCAGAAATTGCTGAGGGATGGCTTGGGAGCTTTCTGTGGCTTCCCGGAGAGGGAGGAGGAGAAACAGCTGGCTGAATTTTCTTGCCTCAGTGACAGTTCACAGGAACATGGGACTTAGAGCTGGAAGGAATGTGAACAGTCTTACAGTCAAACCCCATCATTTTCTACATACAGAAATAGTGTTGGTCGAACGAATTCTGGTTTAGCAAAAGAATACAGTGAATTCTTACTTCCCCAGACGAAATTATGAAAGGGACAATCTCAAAAACACTTGGGAGGTCTTGTATACTGACAGAGAGTGATGTGAAAGGGACCAGGAGAACAGTTTTTGCAGGGACTGCAACAGCAAAGAAAAACACTTGGGAAAGACTGAACAAGGCTGCTGGGTATAGTGATGGATTCCAAATCTAGAGCACTGGCCATAAACACGCTTGCCACTTTTTAGCACTGGGGCTGGGCTAGATAAGCAGGGGAACACTGGCATTTTTGGCCACAGCCAACGTGTGGATTTCTTTTGCATGACTATACTTATTTGTTACAAGCCTGGGTGGGAGGGAGCGGGGAACCTTTTCTTTTGGGGGGGATAATTGAGGGAAATTAAGGAGGAGTAATAGTGATACGAAAAAGAAAAGCTCACTAACGAAACATTTAAAAATAAACAGAAGAGAGCAGAAGTTCAGAAGGAGCCAAAGACAAGCAGAGCAGTTGAAGCTACCTGGTGAAATCTGAATTACGCCAAAAAACCTGCCAAACAGTAAGTACATAGCAGGAAAAACCCAACAAATTGTATATGACAGAAGTTTATAGTTTTGTATATAATCTCCTTCTTTGTTTTTCTTCGCATATGGGAATGTTCAGGTTTGTTTATAACTGACTAAGTTCATAATAAAAAAGAAAAAGTAAATATACAGATATGTATCTGTATATTTACTTTCATATTATATGTGTGTATATATACATACACACACAACACACACACGCATACATATATATATATAAATGTAGAGAGACAGAGATAGGGAGAGGGAGAGAGGAAGGGAGGGAAAGAGAGAGGGGAGAAGTGAGAGAGAGGAGGAGGGAGGGAGGGGGAGAGAGAAAGAAGAGAGAGAGAGAAAGAGAGAGAGAGAGAGAGAGAGAGAGAGAGAGAGAGAGAGAAAGAGAGAGAGAGATTTGTTTTGGACATGGTGAGCCCGAGAGCCCTTGAATGGAGCATCCGGGTGGAAATATCCAGCAGGCGGTTGGTAATTCTGAACCAGAGGTCAGGAGAGCTGGATATATGGATCTGGGAGTCATCTACATTGAGATAATCACAGACCGCATAGGAGCTGATGGATCCCTGAGAGAGATGATAGAGAAAGAAGAAGGCCTAACACAGAGCACTGGGGATGCCCACAGTTTGGGGGCCTGGTATGAATGAAAGGAAGAGTGGATAGACAAGGAAGAGGAGAAAAAATGAGATAGTTGTGTTGCAGGTGCCAAGGGAGAGCAGAATGTCCAGGGAGTGGGATCCATGAATGCCATTTACTACTGTGTTGTTTTTTAAACCTATATTATACTTCCTTTACTACAGGGTGGCCATATGTGTTTTCAATATTGTCTTATTTTTTCTTAACAATTTGACCACGTGTGGTATGGTGGAAAGTGTTCTGGTTCTGAAATCAGAGTACCTGGGAATCAAATCTTGTCTCTGACACTTATTACCTGTGTGACCCTGGAAAAATCATTTAACCTCCATGGGCCTCAATTTCCTCATCTGTAAAAAACAAAGACACTTACTAGCTGTGTGACTCTGCAAGTCACTTAACCCTGTTTGCCATAGTTTCCTCATCTGTAAAATGAGTTGGAGAAGGAAATGTCAAACCATTCCAGTACCTTTGCCAAGCAAACCCCAAATGGGGTCACAATGTGTCGGACATGACTGAAATGACCAAGCAAAAACTACAAATTAAGTTGTTGGATTAGATGATTTCCAAAGTCCCTTCCAATTCTAGATTTATGATCCCATGACGAGCAACTTCTAAGTGTAGGGTCAAGAACAAGATGAATCTAAGTCTCTCCTCATTTCTGACTCATATAACAAGGACGATCCTTCTTGTCCCTATGGCTGCTTTGATTGGAGGAAGAGTTCTTGGAGATGTTGTTTTGCCTTAGAAGGGAGGCAAAAGCCAGAGTAGATCTCCCTAGAGAAAAAGTGCATTCCTCTTCTTGTGACACCCTGGGAAATGGGAACAAGTTGTACTGGGTTTTATGACATCATGTGTGACCTGTTGACAATTTCCCAGCAAGAGTTATGACTCAATCCATCTGTGTGGATGTATGGTCGTTACCAGTACAGCAAATGGTGATTAGTTAGTGATACAGTCTCTTTTTCTGTTGTATCCAGCCCACTGTAGTGTGACGGTTCAAGAGCCAGTTTCTGGGTAATTAATCACTTTATTAATAATTCTAGCATGTTATTAATAAAAGAGGTCAGATTCTAGCATGTTATTAATAAAAGAGGTCAGAGACACTCTCAGATACCAAAGACCTCTCATGGAGCCCACTCAACGCTTACATGTCCTTGGAAGGAGGTGTTCCTGAGGGTGGCAATTGACTCTGATTGGTCAATAATTAATGAGAAAATGAATATTATAATGAGATGTGGGCTCATTCTAATGAGAGTCTTGGGGGTATGTGACATGGATCAAGACCAAGTCTTGGTCAAAGAGACTTATTAATTTCAATATCACCGATCTGGCAAAAGGGAGAATCTACATTTTCCCAGACCTGTCTGAGTAAACAATGAGCAGAAATTCCCCCCTTTGTCTAAACTTAAAATTTATTTTACTGTCTTTGATTAGATCATAGACTGGGGAAATTTGCCCAAGATTTCCCACATTAGTTGATTTCTGGATGAGGAAGTAGAAAAGAGGAAAAAAACTTGGTCCTAATTCAATAATTAGTTATTAATATAAGAAAGAAATAATCATTTTTCTCAGTGGGATTTCTTTATATCCACCCTGCTGTAGAGACCTGATTTGAGCTGAGGCAGGATGCATAGCAGAACAGATGACTAGATTAGGAATAAGGAAGACCTAGAGGCTAATCCTAGTTCTGTCTCTAACTAACTATATGACCTTAGGCAAACTATGTAGTCTTTCTGGGTACTATCTATAAAATTAGAGATTTGGACTAGATTCATTCATCCAACCATCCATCCATCCATCCATCCAACCATCTATCCATCCATCCATCCATTCAATAATGGAGCTTATTGAGGTCCAACAACATGCAAAGACCTATTCCACTGATATGAAGAATAAGACATGGTCTCTGCCCTCTAGGAGTTTACAGTATGACCGTAGAAATGAGGCCATATATACACATAATTATAATCCAGGTAGGATGTGAAAGTGTAGGGGGGGCTCAGAGGAGAAGCAGAGCATTTTGTGGGGAGGGAACAATCAGGGAAGGCTCCACTGGAGAATGGATACTGATAAACTAAAATGTCCAGAAGAAAGCAGTCAGAATGACGAAGGACCTCAATATCATACCATAGGGAGGTCAAGCCAAGAAGTCAACAAGTATTATAAAGCACCTACTATGTGCCAGGCTGAAGGAACTCAGAGTGTTTCACCTAGAGAAAAGAAAAATTGGGAGGTGGGAGACATGATTGTTTTCTACAAGTATTTGAAGAATTGTCCTGTGGAAAAGGGATTAGACTTTTTCAGTCTGGCCCCACTGGGTGGAACTGGGTAGAAGGTGGGTGGAAGGTATAAGAGATTTAGAAAATCAGGAAGAACTTCCAAACAATTAGAGCCCTCCCAAAGCGGAACAGACTACCCCAGGAGCATGTTGATGCCCCTTTACTGGGGGTTTTAAATCACAAGATGAATGACCATTTGTCATAGATGTTGCTCAGGCATGAGTTGGTCTGGGGAGCACCGAGGTCCCTTCCAATACTGGAGAAGGTGGCCATAAAAAAGATGCTAAGATACTGCTTAGGTAGTAATGACAGGACTTTTTGTAACTTATTGGATGTTGTGGGGGGCAGACAAGAGACAGGGAGGCATCAAAGATGACAGGTTTTGAGGTAAAGATGCCTGGGTAATAGAGGCAATGGAGATGTCACTGGCAAAAATAGAGGAACGGGACGATGATGAATTTGGTTTTGGGCATGTTGAGTGGGAGGTGACAGTGACACAGTCCCTTTATTCCTTCAGGATTCAGCTCAAGCACTGACTTCTATATGAAGTTTTTCCTGATTTCCCCTTATCCCCTGCCCCCCAACTGATGGTGGCCCCCCAAAATACCTTGTATCCAATTACTTTGTATATTCATTTATGTATGTCCATATTGTCTCCCCAGTTAGAATGTAAGCCCCTGATGAGTAGGGATTGTTTCGTTCTTTGTACTTCTATTCCCAACTCTTACCTAATGTCTGGCATGTACTAGGTACTTAATAAATGCTTGTTGACTGAATGATTGAGCCAGGTGGAGATGTACAGGCAACAGCTGGAAATGGAGCTCTAGAGAGAGGTAGGGGCTAGAGCCACAAACTGAGATCTTTTCTGAATAAATCTGAATAGGGTGATCATTGAAGGCCTGGGAAGGGCCCAGATCCCTGAATAAAGTATAGAGGCGAGAGAGAATAGCACCTTCCCTGTGAAAGGGGGAAGGGGCGTCAATAAGAGAGAAAAGGGGGAGAACCGTGAGAATGTGTTCCTTCTAAATCAAATGTTCTTAACCTGAAGGTCCGTGGACAGAATTCAGGAGGTCCACCAGCTTGTCTGGGAAGAAAAAATTACACCTTTATTTTCATTAACCTTTGGGATCTTATGCATTTTATGTGTTTTGTTTATTCTGAGGTGAGGCCCATAGACTTCACTAGGGGTCCATGAGCCCCAAAGGTTACGGACCCCTGTCCCAGCTGATCCCCAAGGTTTTGCCAGTTATAACATTCTATAACGAAGTTTGGCAAGTTGGTCTGGTAGAGGGGAGTGCCTTCTGTCTGTCTGAGCTTCCTGCCCCCTTCTCCAGGGACTGTTTCTATTTTCGACCTGGTTTCAGAATCCCCAGGACCCTTCTCCTCCCCTGGAGCAAAAATAAACTCCTTCTCAGCATGGCTTTAAAAGGAAAAACAAAAGAGCTGGCCAACACAACCTACAACCCAAACTGTTTTGACCCTCTGCTCTGCTGGAGGGCAGACAAGGCTGAGACTGAGCTGTGTCTGCTTTCCAGACCTTAAAGGGAAGGAGATTAGGGGAGATTAAAGGGTCAGGAGGGAAACTGAAGTCCCCAGAAGCCTAGAGGGGACATAGGGGGTAACAAATGCCATGGGCTGTAGGAGATTCAAGGACCATGGGTCACGTGGGTGAAACAGGAGCAGTATCAGGATAAGGGACCCAAAGCAGAACTAAAGGGGAGGAGATGCTTAAATATTTATGGTTTCCTCTCACATGGCACGGGGATAATCATTCCTAAGTAAATGACATGTTCACATAAGTACTTTGAAAACAATGTGCAACACACGTAGAATTATTATTATTGTTGCTGCTGTCCATAAGCTCATAGATCAAGAACTGAAAGGGACCTTAGAGATGATTGAGTCCAACCTCTTCATTTTACAGATGAGGAAACCGAGGCCCAGCTAGGAAAAATGTCTTGATGAAAGTTACACAGATAGCATCATAAATCTAGAAGGAGAAGGGACTTGAGAGACCATTAGATCCAACCCTTTCATTTTATGGATTTGTATACTGAGACCCAAAGAGAAGTGACTTGCTCAGTGTCTGAGGCGGAATTTGAACGCAGGACCTTTGGCTCCGTAGTGCTCTTTCTCTCTCTCTTTGTTCCTTCCTTCCTTCTTTCTTTACTTCCTTTCTTCCCTTCCTCTCTCCCTCTCTTCTTTCCTTCCTTCCTTCCTCCCTCCCTCCCTTCTTTCTTTCTTTCCTTTCCACTATATTCAAGGCACTGGGCTAGTCTTTAAGGACACAAGACAAAAATTAAATAGTATCTGCCCTTAAGGAGATAAACTAGTAGTATTACCAGATACTTCCCTTTGGCAAGACCGGCAAAATATCACTGGCTGGTGTTTTTTCTTCCTATCTTTGCCTCTCCTTGTACCAGATCCCTTGTAGTACAAACTCCACTGGACTATTGTCTCTATGACCCTCCCTTCTGTCCACAGCCCTTAGGGACTCAGACAACGGCATAGAAGATTTTCAGGTGGCACAAAGCTAGGAAGGATAGCTAATACCTCATGGGGTCACAGGAAGTTGTGACAAAATCAAGATTCCAAAAAACCTCAACAGGCTCTATGGGTTCCTTTTGTGAACAGGGATTGTAATATCATAGATTTAATGCTGGAAGGGACTTCAAAGGCCATCTGGCCCAACTACCCCATTTTACAGATGAGGGAACTGGGGCCCAGAAAGGGGAAATGACTTGCCTGAGATCACATGGTCAGTGGTAGAATGAGGACCCTACCAACCAAGGTTAAACATCATTAATAATATATTATGAATGAGCCCTACAGAATACAACCCAGTGCAATATAAGCTCCTTGAGGGCAGACTGTTTTAATTTTGCATTTGTATCCGTATCCCCAGTGCCTGATACATATTAGGCACTTAATAAATGTTTGTGGAATTGACTGTTAAATAGTAAGTATTTTAAATCATCTTTTGATCCTTAGATAAGTAATGAAAAGGCAGGAAGGGAATGTACCTACCTGACAGTCCTGCAGTGAGGAAATGTTTTGTTAGCCTTAAAGTGCTATAGAAATATAAGTTCTCATCATCATTATCATTATTCAGCCTAATTTCTAGACTTGCTTGCTGCATATCCAGAGAAAATTGTAGGCTTGTAGGATGGAGATGGAAAAGAATAAAATAAAAAGATTCTATTTCTTATCATGTATGATTATTTGAGTATTTTGTCAATGATTATCAAGTTTATAACAAAAAAAAACCCCTTTAAAATAAAATAAATTAAATTGGATTCTATAATTGGACACTGTCCCAGAAGGATTCCTGGCTCTTCAATCTGACACGTGGCCACTTGGCACCCGACTCTTTCACCAGGATTTAGTCCCCTGAATGATAAAAACAGGTGGTATAGGGGCCAAAGATACCCCTCTATCTAGGTGATCCGGCTGGTGCCAGGCTTGCTCGTGTGTCTGACACATCACCAGGGGCCAGCTCTCTCATAGCAGGGCTGGGGATAGGCTCCTCCCTCCCTTTTTGCACTGCAAAGAAAAAAGACTGGCTTTTTAACACTTGGTGTATGAATGTGTCCCAGGGCCCTGATAAAGCAAGAGAAACCCTGCCAGGCATTGCATCAGTCGAGAAAACTCCTGAACTCAGTCCAAAAGCCAGGAAATACATTTTAGATTTGTGTTATCTGCTGTTGCTGGCTCTGCGTGTCCTTTCTGATGGCCAGGGAAGAAAGATCAGAAAATGGAGGAGGGAAAGGGCCAAAGGGATGATGGAGACACGTGAGGCTCAGCAGATTCAGGGTCACCCCCGTTCCACAAACACTTACGAAATGCCTTCTACGGCCCCTGTGTGAAGCCGTGGGGGAGAAATGACCTGCAGATGTGACGCTGCCCCTGACAATCTAGTTTTCAACACAATAGATGTCAAAATAACTATTATGTGCTCTAGGACCATAGGTTTTGAGTTAGAAGAGTGAATGATGATAATGACGATGAAAACTCACATTTCTATAGAATTTAAGGCTCTGACCAAACACTTTCTTCACCATAAACCTGGAAAGTTGGTAGCATTCCCTACCTCTCCTTTCATTATCCATCTAAGGATCAAAAGATTACTTACATACATTATCTCAATTGATACTGACAATGATATTGTGACTCTTGTGGGGTATGAACCATTATTGTCCCCATTTTACAGAGGAAGAAACTGAGGCATACCGAGGTTAAATGAGTTGTCCAGAGACACACGACTAGTAAGTGTCTGGGGCAGCACTTGAGTCCACGTCTTCCCGAAGCATTTTATCTGCCATACCATGGATCTTACTTCCCAAGTTACCAGAAAGAGGGAAGTTAAATGTGCCTCTTTAACACCACTATCTGAAATGGAGTAAACAGGGACAGTGCAGCCAATGATTTGCAAACTGAGTTAAAGGCAGGGAACTCTGGATAGAAGTCCAGTAGATAGAGCATTGGGCCTGGAGTCAGGAAGACCCAGGTTCAAACCCTGCCTCAAATACCAGCTGCGTGATCTTGGGCAAGTCATTTAACTTTTGTTTCTTCACCTGTAAAATAGAGATGATAACAGCCTCTGCCTCACAAGGATTACAGGAGATAACATAAGTGAAAAGTACTTGGTTGAGTATAAAATTTTCACTCTATTAATGCTAGGAAACAAGAAATGCTCTGGGTGTTTGATCCAGCCTGAATTCTCTCTGACTAGGGAGGGACATCTAGAGATGATTTGAGGGGAAGCCAGAATGGCTATACTGGCTCTGTTCTCAGAATCACAGAACTAGAAGAGGAATCATTTAATCCTGCTGCCTCATTTTGTAGCTGAGGAACCCCAGCCCCAGAGAGAAGGGATTTACCTGTGGGCACCACACAAATTAGTGGCCCTACTCTGGAATAATACAGGTCTCCTACCACCAGGGCTAATGTTCTGTACTTTACACCTTGCTGCCTTAAAATCTCATGGAAGGAGGTCCCCCTTGAGGGAAATGGGCCCCAAGCATCCTCAACCAACCCAAGCCTCAGTTTCCTCATCTAGACAGAAGGGAATGAAACCCCTGACCTGCCCATCCCTCTTAAGAAAGAATATAATCATCACAGAGAAGCAGTTTGAAAGATCTGTAAAAGTCCTAGGTCTTTTTAAGAATTGCGAGTACCTTTCGTTAGAGGATGATGCCGGTTGGGGCTGCCCTGTGGGCCCCACGATTAGCAGGGTGCAAAGATGAGGCCTGAAGGCTGGCCCTGGTGGGAAAGGCAAGAGGGCGGCTCTTGATCCTTGGAAACAGAGGCTGAGGGCTGCTTGGCTTTCAGGTGAGCAGAGAAAGATGAAAGATGGCACAGCTTAGAGAAGCAAGCTGCTCTGAGCTCCCCAGCCAGAGCTCCTGAGCCTTGGGCCTCTTCTGTGAAAGAGGTTTTTTCAACTGAGACTTTGGTTGGTTTGGGGTCAGGGGAGGGAGGGGCTTCAGGGTGTCTTCTTTCTCTTTGCAGATGACATCTTAGTGGCTTCATGTGCGCCCACTCAGCTGTCGGGGTTTCACATCCTCTGTCAACCTCAGACCTGCAGCCCCGACAGAATAGCCTGCCTCCTGCCAGGGGCCTCAAAAGTCAGGTCCCATCCTGTGGCTCGAGAATTAGCAAGAGGCCAGGGCCGGAAGGACACCGCTGAGTTCAACCGACCCCTCCGTTTGGTAGCTGAGGAGAGGCAAGTCACAGACCGTTTAAGTGACTTGTCCTGAGTCACACAGCTAGTTAGTGTCAGAGGTAAGATGGGAACCCAGGTTTTTGTGTTTTTTTTATTCTAGGGCCATTTCTCTATCCATTGCACTGCACTGCCTCTAGCCCAACTACAGATGAGGAAACTGGGGTAGGGAAGAGTGGGGGTGTGACTTGCTCATGGTCACATGGCTAGTGACTTGTCTGTAGCTAGAACTCAACGTTTTTTCTCTCTCTCTCTCTTTCCTTTCTTCTCCCTCTCCTCTCTTCTCTTCTCTCTCTCTTCTCTCCTCTTTTCTCTCTCTTCCCTCTCTTCTCTCCTCTCCTTTCTTTTCTCTCTCTCTCTCTCCTTCTCTCTTCCTCTCTCTCTCTCTTCTGTCTCTGTCTCTATCTTCGTCTGTCTCTCTCTCTTTGGAGGCAATTGGGGTTAAGTGACTTGCCCAGGGTCACACAGCTATTAAGTGTCTGAGGCCAGATCTGAACTCATGTCCTCCTGAATCCAGGGCTGGTGCTCTACCCCTGAACTCAGGTCTCTTGACTCTTAGACCAATGCTTTCTCCACTCTGATTTGTTAGTTCATCGGGTAAACTGGGATTTCTGAAAACAACACACTTTAACTATGCCACTGTGGACATGCCATTCCCATAGCCTCCTCTTTGAAGCCTTCCCTTACCAGTCTAATGCAATCTAACAAATATTTATTAAATACCTACTGTGCACAAAGCCTTATGCAAGGCATCGGGAGGACAGAGACCAAATGAAAGGCTGTTCCTGTCCTTGAGTAGTTTACATTCTTCTCTGCAGCACACAGTGACCGAGTGGACCTGGAATTAAGTCCCACTTTTCATGCTTATTACTTACGTGATTTTAAATTACGTTTGTAAAGCGCCTACTATGTGCCAGGTACTAAGAAAGGTAAAAGATAGTCCCTGTCCTCAAGGAGGAGCAGCTAGGTGGCACCATAGTGCACAGAGTGCTGCGCTTGGAGTCCAGACTGTGACCTTGGGCAAGTCACTTAAGCCTGTTTGCCTCAGTTTCCTCATCTGTAAAATGAGCTGGAGAAGGAAATGGCAAACCACTCCAGCATCTTTGCCAACAGAACCCCAAATGGGGTCAGGAAGGGTCGGACACAACTGAACAACATTAATGTCCCCAGGGAGTTCACTTAACCTCCCAAGCCTCCATTTCCTCAACTCCCAAGTGAGGAGTTGGATTTGGTAACCTCCGAGGTCCCTTCTAATAATAATAGCTAACATTCAGACAGCACTTAAATATATTTTCACTCAGGGCTCTTACACGTGCTATTATTATCCCCATTTTACAGATAAATAAATAGAGGCTGAGAGAGATCAGGTGATTTGCCTAGGATTGCCTAGCTAATAAGTATCTAAGGCAGGATTTGAACTCCTGTCCCTGACTCCAGTTCAGGCATTCAGTTCCCTACACTACCACATTGTGACTTATCTCTTGCTCCATCTGGGTTTCTTAACCACAGAAGGAAGGGGTCAGATAAATCAGTAAAGAGTGAAAAAAGCTAAATAACAATAATATTACCTAGCATTTATATCATCCCTTCAGGTTTGCAAAATGCCTTACAAATTTTATCCTTGAAATAACTGTGGGAGGTGAGTATTATTGTTATCCCCATTTTACAGTGGAGGAAACTCAGGCACAAAGAAATTAAGTGACTTGCCCTTGTTCACACAGCCAAGTCTTCCTGACTCTAGGTCCAGAGCTCTATCCACAGTGCCACCAGTCGCCAAAAGCTTAGTAAATCCTCTATCCACCTGTCGGTCTAGTGTCCTAGCCGATGAATCACCTAGCTTGCTGCGAAATCATAAATGTACACCAGGCAGAATCCTGCCTTGCCCACAACACTTTAGGTCACGGGGTGACTGTGAGCTGGTGGCCCAGGAGCATCCCTTGTCCAGTGTTCACCTAACCTTCACCGTCCCATTACGAGTCCCATTATGGTCCCATTAGGACCATGCTTGCCTTCTTCTCAGACTCGGGGTTTTGGAGATTTCACAAATGACCCGAAGACCACCAGGAAGGTAATGCCTAGGAAAAACTGGGTCCTCTTACCCTCGACTGCTTTGATACAACCATGCTTTTTCCATCCCAGCTGGCAGCGCACAAGGGTAGTTTTGGGGGGAGTTCACAGAGCCCATGTGGCATTTGTTGGCCAGATAGAGTCAAATCAATTCTGTGAGCTTGGTACAGCTCCAGCAGTGCCAGCAAAAGCCAACCCATCAGACACCTGTGAAAACTCAAAAGAATAAACTCTCTCTCTGACTCTCGGCAGAAGAATGAGTACATGAGGTACCCAGAATGCCAGGCCAAGGTCCCCAACCTTCAGGGGCTAAGGACAAGTTGAAATTTATGGACTTGACAGCCCCAAGACCCATATTTCCAGGTAGCCTCTGGCAGCCTGGTTACTCCATTCTAACTACTCCCCTCTCCCAAGAGGCAACCCAGAGAGGGGGATTCTTCCCCCAAGGGGTCATACCCAGCATTCTAACAATCCCCTCCAATAAATCCTGCATCTTGTCACCTGAGTCATGGTCTCAGAACTCTCCTGGGATCACAGAAGCAGAGAAGGAGAAAGCGAGCTTGGAGACCGTTTAGCCCCATTGGGGAAACTGAGGCTTAGAAAGCCAAGATGGCTTGCCCAAAGTCACACAGGACAGAAACCAAGCCCCTTGGCTCGCAGACCAGAGTTCTTTCCATTGTAGTTCAAATGCAGAATTGTGGTACAGTGGGATGTGACTCAGACTCTGAGGACTCGGGTTCGAGTCTTGACTCTAGCTCTTACCAGCTGTGTGACCTTGGACAGTCATTTAACTTTTCTGGGTTCTTGAAAAATGGGAACGTTGTTCAGTTGTGTCTGACTCTTCATGACCCCATGGACTCTACTGCCCATGGGGTTTTCTTGGCAAAGATACTGGAGTGGTTTGCCATTTCCTTCTCCAGCAGGTTAAGGGAAACAGAGGGTAAGGGACTTGCCCAGGGTCACACAGGTAGTAAGTGTCTGAGATCTGATTTGAACTCAGGTCTTCCCGACTCCAGGCCCAGTGCTCTACCCACTAGCTGCCTCCTAAAATGACAATAACAAAACTTAATTATTTTTGTACTAAGACTAATGTTCAGGGGCAGCTAGGTGGCGCAGCAGATAGAGTACTGGCCCTTAAGTCAGGAGGACCTGAGTTCAAATCCGGCCTCAGACCAAACACTTGACACTTACTAGCTGTGGACCTTGGGCAAGTCACTTAACCCCAATTGCCTTAAAAAAAAAAAAAAACAACAGAATAATGTTCAAATTCCTTAGAATGTAACTCGAGGCCTTTTGTATCTTGGACCCAACCTACTTAGCACAGGGCTTAGCACATATTAGGAACTTAATAAGTGTTAATTGACTGACTAATGGACTATTTTTCCATCTCCATTTCTACTCCCCTACATGAATCTTGTATTTCAGTCAAACTGTATTACAAAAGTGTCTTGCATATTCCTTCATATTAATGGTCTTATTACATCAATCTCCCCTGCCTTTCATCTTTGGCCTCACTTCACCCACTCAAATCTTGTCCAGTTTTCAGGACTTGGGTCTTCTGTGGAACCCTTGCTGACTGCCACCAAATTCCCGGATCACTGCTTTGCTGTGGCCTTCATCGGCACTCGCCATTTATGGGGTTTGCTTATCATCTTTTCACATGCCTATATCTTATCTTTGTTACTAGATACCAACAGACTCCTAATCTTCTAGTCTCTTGTATCATCTTTACTGTATCTTTGCATCCCCTCTATGCTCAGCATGGTCACAGAATCACAGAAGTTGTGAGTTGGAAGGGACCCCAGCATGCACCTGGTCCAGCCCACACATGAAAGAAGCCCCCCCATTAACAGGACAACAAGCCTCTGGTAGAATACTACAAGGAGGGGGAGCCTGACCCATTCCCCTTTGGACAGATCTCACTGTAGGACGTCATGCCTGGTATCAAACTTAAATTTTCCTTTTTTGCAACTTCTGCCCATCGCTCCTGATTCTCCGCTGTAGGGACCACGTCTAGCTGCCCTTCCACGTGACAACCATTCGATGACTTAGACACACTACTAATACCCTTCCTGGGTTTTGTCTTTTCCAGGATCAACATGCCCAGTTCCTTCATATTGTGGTGAAGGAGACAATCCTAGTCACAAATTTATTATTTATTTATTAGCAAACCAGGCGTAATAAACCCTGTTTGCTCGTATAGTTTGGATTGTCTCCCTAGGTTATTATTAATTAATCACCGCAGTTTTTGAAGAGCTGAGCTAGGTCAAGCCAGGACTCTGACCCCCAGGAAAAGAGCCTTTCAGAAAAAATCTCCGGTTAATCTTTTACTGTGGGACTTTCTCACTGAAGACAGAAGGTTGGACTCCTGCTTTGGATCCTGATTTCTTTCAAGCTCAGGTAAGATCGAGGGTGTAGTTTTAGATAAAGTCTGCCCCAGGGAGTGGGGTGATTTAACTATGCCGTTATCTCTACTCAAGGCCCTTTCCTCTCTTGGCTACCCTTCTTGGGTCATTCTTTGTCAATTTCTTCTGTAAACCCTGGAACTTGGAACAGAATACAGTACTCCCAATGAGAGTGTCCAGCCAAGGACAGAGGACAGTTGCAAAAAAACAACAAAATAGAGCTTCCAGTGGGTCCTCTTCCATTTTACCAGCTGCAATATCTAGACAACGTAAGCCTGCTTTGAATACGCTTTTTCAAAGTAAATGCTTTAGGTCTCATGAAACACTCAACAAAAAGTATAAAGAAGACTGATGGTAACACAGATTGCCCATAACCATTAGACCCCTTGAAACAAGAGACGGTGTGCCATAAATGAAATATTGCTGGATGTGGAGAGGAGACCTGGGTTTAAGGCTCAGTTTTGATGCTGAGACTAGATGAGTGACTGAAGACCAGTCACATTTCTTCCCCAGGTCTGTTTCCTCATCCACAGAATGGGAGCAATAATGCTTAGACATCTTATTTCATGGAGTTGTCATGAGGAAAGGAGGATCCCCCGCCCCAGTCAGAGAGAATCTTAGAAGCCATCCAGGCCAATTCCTCCCTGACTGATAATCAACACGTGTTTATCAGGGACCTTCTATATGCCAGGTACTGTGCTGGGTGATAGGGGTTTCAAATACAAAATGATAATCTCCTTGATGTCATAACACCTGAATGGTTGTCCAGCCTATGTTTCAAGACCTTTAGGAGACTTGGTTGTTGCTAAGTTGTTTCAGTCATGTCTGACTTTTCGTGACCATATTTGGGGTTTTCTTGGCAAAGATACTGGAGTGGTTTGCTATTTCATTCTCCATGATAAATAGAAGGATAAATAGATGGATAGAGAGATAGATTGATAGATAAAGCACTTATTAAACCCCCACTGTATACCAAACACTGTGCTAAGTGCTGGAGATGCAAATATAAGCAAAATATTCTCTGCCTTTAAGGAGGTTACATTCTAATGGGGAAGAACACATATAGGGGTGCCAGAGTAGAGGTGGAAGAGTAGAGGGGAAAATGCTACAGGCAAGAGAAATGAGATGAGTCCATTGAGAGGTGAATTATGTCTGGGATCCTTCTTCAAGTAGCTGAAGACAATTAATCATGCCTCTACTTTTCACTCCCCACATTCCCTGTTTTATCAGTGTCCTTCCTAGAATATGGGGCCCAAAATGGAACCATAAGATTTAGTGCTAGAAAGGAATAGAAACACCATTGAATTGAAGACAAATGTATTACAGAAAGCTGATGATCACAGAACGGTTTTTAAGAGTTCTTATAACTTACTGTGGTGTGAGCTTCACAATTCTCTGCAGACACAGATGGAAAGGGACTGTTCTACGGGCTGTGATTCTGACACTGAACCTGGGAGCAGTCTCTAAGAAGTCTGTCGCCCTGTCCTTGGACACTGGAATCCCTCCCTGTCCTCACTCCTGCCTCACCTTTGTCCCATTCTGTTGACGCTAGGCACTCTACCCACTGAAGGAGCTCCACACTTGTTCTTGCGTCTTACTTAGCACCTTGTTAGTGTAAGTTGTCAGCAAACGTTTCAAATAGAATGTGTGTCTGGCAGGTTGTTGGGAAGCTCTGGGATTAATGGCTTTTTGGCATTCCACCCGAGCTGGGCAGCTTTCCTGAGCCCTGTTCAGCGTCTCCAAGATGACTATCCAGCGTCAGAGTTTTTGAGATGAGAGAAGAGATAAAAACCAAATTGGGTAGCAATTGGGATGCTCTAGCTGGGAGGGGACTTGACCACAGAAGTGAGAAGTCTTAACATATTAGAGCTAGAGAGGATGATACAGCCTATTGTACAGAGGAGAAAATGGAGTGCTAACAATTGGAAAGTGAGAAGAAATGTTGGCAGGTGATATTATGACAACATGTTTGTTAGGGGTTCCCTTCACTGTAGAACTCATTAGGAACTTAACTGTGTCTTACAGAAATTTCTATGATTTAGAATCATATGTTATTAAAAAATGAGGTCAGACAATGATTAAGTTTCTTCTGTCTAATACGAGTCATACTGTATCAAATTTGTGCATTGTATGATACCAAGTGTCAATCATACTAATAATGACATGACCAAACCATCAAGGTCACCCCTGCCTATACCCACACTCATCTTCCTATGGGAACCGAAGGCTCTTCTTGTGTGGCAAGATAGCTTATACTCACATACCAGCAAATGGCACTGGAGGACCCTGTGCCCTAGGGAGAGTCACAACAATCCTTTTCCCTTATCCCAAGAGAGCTACTGATGCCCATATATCACCACTCAGGCAGAAAAGGACCTCCTTGCCACTACCTGAGAGTTGTGAGCATAGGATCAATCTCCTTTCCAAAGCTGAGTATATTTCTTATGCCTCCTTTTTTGTTGACATACTAGGCCTATGCATAGTTTCTTACATCCACCTGACCAATCTTGCCTGTGCCCTCACCAAATCTATCAATCATACTTCCTCTATAATATCTGCCCTGAGTACAGAATTTGGAGAAAGAAGAGGAATGGTATTAGAAAATAGGGCTGCCCCTATTGATTATCTTCTGCTCAGGTATAACCTCAGTGGCCAAGACTTTCAGGGTATGTATTACTTTAATATTTCATATAAAAGTCATCTTCCTGAACCCTCCAGGCAATCTACAGCAATTGGCTTTAGGTATCCACTAATCCTCCATCGTCGATGCTTGGTGGGCCTGGTTGTGGTTATGACTGGCTGGCACTGAATGGCATAAACAGATTCTAAAGGCGTTTGTGATATTTGTGGGCATATTCAATGCCTGGGAAATCTCCCTGGGTTGTGTAGCACAGTTATTTCCCTGTGCAATTCTAGGCCTCCTAACTAGACAGCCACTGACGCTTATTCAGTTTGATTCCTCTGATCATGAGACACTGGGAGAAGTCTGTCACCAATATTGTCACTATCCCTCCTTAAAGGGATTATATCAAGTTTTTGACAAGTTGGATAATGAGGATCCCTTTGTGATTCAGGCAAGTTTTTTGAACTCCCTTTGATACCATAACCCAGCTTTTTTGCTTCTGTAATTATGCTTCTGCTTATATGAGAATGTTGGACTTTAATAAGCCCGAGAGAGGAAAATTTGGGAAATGTTTTATTATATTGTTCAGGAAACTTATTATTACACTGTTTAAATCTAATTTTATGTGACTAGAGATTGAACCCAGAATGTTGCCCTGGCCTCACTAACTCTCCAATAATTCTGGGGATGGTTACAAAGAATTCAGGGTTCCCTCAAGTCATAAATCCACCCAAAATATTTATACTTTAGGTCCTCTCACCCAGGTTTTGTTTTGGATCCACCCAAACTTGAGTTTTGACTCAAATTTTATTGAATGTCTATACTTACCAACATCCATCTTAATCAACCTTGCTTTCAAGTTGCCCTCTCTGCAAAATTGCTTAACTGCATATTTGGGGGTCCGCCTTAAGGTGCTCTTGTTTAAATCCTATGTAATGTAAACCTCCCACTCTTTCTGGCTTGCTGTCCCCTGCCAAGTGAACAAATAAGTTTCTTTCTAAAACTTTTTCAGGTTTTGGGGTTTTCTCACAAACATGAGTCAACACACAGACAAAATTCCCCTTGACGTTGCCCCACCCAACATCATTTCACGATAAAATTGTGAATAGATTACTACCAGGCCCTCACCATCCTGTTTTAGTCCTTTGACTAATAGCCCAGCCCCACTGGCTTCCATCTTGCCTGAGTCACTTGGCACACCAGCGCTCAATCCCCCCATCCACCAGCCAGTTAACCCCCTTCCCCAAGTGGCTGCTTGCAATCTAGGACTACCACTTATCCCCATCCTGGCCATTTCCCATTTCCATCCCTTGTGATGTTGTTTTCAGCTGTGTGACTTTGGATGGGTTCCTCCACCTCTCTTTAGCTGATCACCGTTTTTCAACATCCTCTGAGAAGACAGGTTTAGACAGCTCTCATCCTCCACTTGTCAGACAAATCTGGGCTGATATAACTGAAGCAAACAGGCTGAGCATTGCTGCTGCTGGAGTGGATGTTTAACTACTTTCAGGGCTCAGAATCAAAGCCTGGCAAGGACAGATTGTGAGTCATGCATCAAGGAAGAGCACCAATGGGGCAATCCTGGCAGGGGGAGGTTGAGAATAAGTGCTTGGGAAACTTCTGTGACCTGGTTTGAAGCATCATTTTGCTTACAAAGTGACTCACTTAAAACAGGCCCCCATATTGAATTAAACCAAGGACAGTTTTCAAAAATATAAACACTAGACTTGTGATTTTATCAGGCCTGGTGAGACCCATTGAACTAAGTCTGGTTCTAGTGAGTTCCATCAACGTAGATCTGCTCTGTGACTTAGAGAGTGGCCTGTGGGTACTCAGAGGTTAAGTGACTTGCCCCGGGTAACACAGTCAGTATCTGTCATAGGGAGAACTTAAATCTGGGTCTTACTGACTCTGAAAGCAGCCCTCAATGCATTACACCGCCCTACCTCTCCAAGACAGAGAATTGTGGAAATAATATTCAGTAGGAATGTTCTCTGAGTTGGTTTTAGGTGTTCTCAGCAAGAAAAAAAAAGAAGTTCTACTGCTTGTCTGAGTCTTTGTGGGTCTCAGTTTCTAAGCTCAAATTCTTCCATGGGGCACAGGTGAAAATGCTTCCAACAGGTTTTGATAAACTGAATCTTAAGCTCATACACAGATGTAGAGCAGATGTAGAGCTGGGACACAGCTTCAAGGCTGTTTAGTCTGTGCTCCTCATTTTCTAGAGGAGGAAAGTGGGGCCGGCAGAGGCTTGCCTCAGGTTATTCAGGCTGCATCAGAGATGAGATTTGAAACCAGTTTTTCCTGACTCCCGGGTCTAGCACTTGATTAGATAAAAGAGGAGCCATACGAGGAACCACTGGCCTCGTTATCTA